CCGAACGGGTCCATAATTATATTTGGACTCGACGGGTCCATTTATTAAATACCCAAAAGTGTTGGGTCGGCTCAGGTCTCTTCAGAACCGAACCGAACCGACCCACAGACAGCCCTAGTTGACCATTAAAAATTTGTTAAAAAATTTAACTATGGTACGGAACCAAGCAAAACCGAACCGAACTGAACTCGAATGGTTCCATTTATTAAATACCCAAAAATTTTGGTTCGGTTCGGTTCTCTTCAGAATTGAATCGGACCATGTCCAGCCCTAGCCAAGTTGATAACCATCCCATCAACTCTGACGTCTCCGTTAGGCGCCACCAACAGCGTCTTTTGTGGCCCTACAATCGGCTTTTGAAACGGCCAAGCACATTGACCCGGGCATTGAATGGCTGAGTTGCCAACCCACGCGTAGGCGTACTTTTTCCTGCTCTTGCCACGTATGTATCCGTGGCTCCCGCACATGTTCATGCAAAAGTCCTCCACCGCCACATCGAATGCCATCAAGACGACGTTAACTCCGTTAACATGGCCACTAGCTATAGAAGCCAGGGCTACAATCTGAGCATCTTTTAAAGATTTTCCAAGAGAGTAACTTTGATCAAAGACTTGATTTCCTACGTTAATAATACATAAACCGCCCTTGTATTTCGCAATGGTGCTCCACCATGACGCGACGGAGAGTGGTGGTGAGCCGCGGTGGTGTTTATGGCTGAGGGATTGGGAAAACTCAAGAATTGTGGACCTCTGTGTGGAGGTGAACTTGCCATACCAAATTAGATTAACATTGACATTGCCTTTGAGGAGCGTGCCTTCGTGATGCTTGAGAACAGGGGGTTCTTTCTTAACAAGAGCAAGAATTCTAGGGGTAGCTGAAGAAAACTTTGGCAGAATTATGGAAATTACAAGCAAGAAGAAAAGAATTTTGTTATAAAGATTATTAGAAGCCATTGGAGGGAAAATTTTGATGTTGAATTGTAGGGTTGGATATACTATATATACTCTATGTATGGTGTTGGCAAGGGTGTGGATAGCTGGGAATGGAAATTGTGATGGCCATGTTGCACTTTAGAAGACAGACTCTTTAGGTTTGACATATTTGAGGTTTTGAAAGTTCAAACTAAAATGGTGGGCTAGTGGTGTTCAATGGTAATAGGGTGCAAGTTGGTATGGAAACATTACTAATGACAACCACTTTGGATATGATTATACCAGTATTTAATAAATGTAAAGTGTGATTAGTCGTGGATACGAAGTTTTAAGCTTTACAAGCTTAAACGATGCCTAGAAGTGAAAAAGCGTTTTCTCATTTTTAATATTATTTTAAATTTTTAATCATTTTATAAATTCTTTAATAATAAAAATATCAAATATTTAAAATTATAAAATACTATATTTGCTTAATAATTCTTATTATAAGTCCTACTTAATATATGGATTTATAGAAACTTTATATATGTTTTTGAAATTTTCGACAAAATAACTAGTCTCAAGATCATAATTACATATATAGATCGCACCGTAACTTAATCTTATCTACCTCTTTATTGAATAAAGTTATATTTAACTTTTGTACAGATAAAGTCTTTTAGAAACTTGAAATTGAAATCAAACGATTTTTTTTAAAAAAAATTTAATAAACTAAAGTGAAATAAAATATTTTAAAATAAATAAATAAAAAATTTAATAAAGCGCGCCTGTGGAAGACGAAAGAGAAGAAAGAAAAAATTCAACCGTTTAGGAATTGAAAAAAAAAATTAAAAAAA